CAATAAAATCAGTTAAAAACAGTAAAAATACTAAAATGATAAAATCACAAAAACAACAAACAATAAAACGATAAAAGCAAACGTCTCAATCTGAGTTAAACGCCAAAAAGAAACAATGTTTCTTGAGAGATTTAAAAACAAGAAGTGAATCTGATGTGCAGAGGCAGCTCGTTCCACAGTTCAGGACTGAAAACTCACAAATAAAGTTGTCATTTGTGCAGAGAATCAGATGAAACTTGGTGTGGTAGTAGCTGAGAGTCATCCTCAACACGTTTTCTGAAATTATCTCTCAGATCGAAGGCAATGTGTTCAACATAATGGTACTTCCTCCAGTTATTTAACAGTCAACAGTGGTGTACCACAAGGCTCAGTCTTAAGACACACCCTTTATACAATCTACATAAGTAATGTAGATCAGATCATCCCTGATGCATCCTTACATTCCATGCTGATGACACAGTTGTTTACCGTCAAGCTAAAACAGTTGCTAAGGTTTTCCAGCTCTTGCAATCTGCTTCATCCAGTCAGATTTGTTCCGTCTCAAACTTGTCCTAAATGCCAACAAAACCAAAGGGATGCTGTTTTCAAACAGGAAGTCAGTCCCAGCAGTTCTTCCTTCAGTTTTATCCTTGAATGGTGTTCCTATTGAGTTTGTCGAGTCCTACAAATATTTGGGTATCTTGGTCAATTCGCATCTCTCTTTTAAGCTTCACGTGGAAAACTTGGTAAATTAAATTGGGTTTATTTTCAGAAATAGATCCTGTCTAACTCTGAATGAAACACCTTGTGACTGTGACTTTCCTTCCCTCCATTGACTACGGTGACATTATTTACATGAACACTCCTACAAGCACCCTGCAGGTGCTGGATGCTGTCTATCATGGTGCATTAAGATTCACAATTGTCTGCGATTATCGTACCCACTACTGCACCCTTCCAGTTAACCCTTCACTGGTTAACTGGTCATCATTAACTTCACGTAGACCCTCTCACTGGTACATTTTCATCTTTAAATCACTTCTTGGTCTGCTGCCTTCATACATCTCCTCCTACATGTCTCTGCGTGAGTGCAGCTACAGCGTGCGCTCTCAGGACATTATTACCTGCAGTGTTCCCTCAGTGAGAACTGAACTTGGCAATAGGGTCTTCTCCTACTCCGCTCCTGTTTCCTGGAATATCTTGCAAAAAGATCTGAAGCTCTCGACCTTGACCTCTCTAAGTGGCTTCAAACATCTAAGTTCATGGCGGAAACCATTGCAGACATGTTTCTGTTTTTAGTTTTCTACATTACCTTATAACCTAGCTGTTTTTTGTTACATTTTGCATACCATTTTATTTTCACTTGTTATTCTCAGTTTGTATGCTTCTTTTTATGATTGTCTACTGTTGTCATCACTCTTTGTCTCTGGTCTCTCTTGTAAATGGGTCCCTGAGGCTCATTAGTCTATAAATAAAGTTTGAATGAAAAAAAAAATCCTTGCGATTATGCACATCCTCATTTGCTAAGTTTGACCATAAAAGGTCACAACTGCATCATCTCTGGACATGAGATGTTTTTAAGTGTTTTTTCACTCTTTCTAAGCTCTTAATGTTTAACTGTTTGTATTTTATCCACGATTGTTTGTTGGTACGTGCAGCTGGAAATGTTCAGGATTGAAGCGACAGCAGAGAAAGTTCTCCACTTCTGCTGAGGTTGGAGCTCTGACGCCCAAATGTTCTCAAATAGCATCTCTTTAGAACTGTTATGTAAGAAGCTGCTCCTCCCCGCTCAGGAAAAACATGCCTGACACGTGCACAGCCCCTCTATCGGTTATCCTGAAGAAGGACTTTCAGTAATGTTGCATCATATGTAATGTTGCATCATATGTAATGTAGCATCCGTTAACGGAGGTAAAACTCTGAAGTCTGGATCAGAGAGGGCGTGGAAGCATCTTTACGTGCACATGAACACCTTTAATGTTTTGAAGAAGTTCTGTGAGTGGACATTTGCTCTTAAACAAACCATTAACTCTTACAACATGTTCTGTGGAGGCTGTTAAAAACTACAAATCTTTGAATTTATTTAAAACATTTACTGCCTCAAAGCTCCTGTGACCTGCAAATACTTCAAATACAAAAAAAAAAATGGACGAAAACATCTTCATATTTAAGAACTTTCTCATCATACACACGATCTTAGCCATTTTGTCACATAACTGACACATTTTCTTTAAACTTGGTGCAGATAAAGTGAAACAGGAAGTGACATCACAATTGAACTTCCTGGTCTTTATTTATTGAAACAACATTATTTGGACTCTGACGCTTTGTCTCGGATAGACTCAAAATAATCTAAAGAAACATCAAATGCTACTCTCAATGCACTGTTCCCCTTTGGCATCACTTCCTGTTACTGGCATCACTTCCTGTTCCTGGCATCACTTCCTGTTACTGGCATCACTTCCTGTTACTGCGTATGAAAATATTTCAACAACTGTTCATTTCATTTGCTTGAATTATTATTATTTTTGCAATATGTTTTTAATGTCTTTCCAAAAATGCATTCATATTTATCATGTAAATTTGGTGTCTCGGCCACTTTAAACTTACATCAGCATTCTTCACATGTGTCAAACTTAAGGCCCGTGGGCTAAATCTGGTCCTTGTTAGCATCTCATCTGGCCCCCCAGGATAATGTTTTCAGTGTTACATATTTTTATTGCTTCTCATTTTGTTTAAAAACTTAAGCTTAAAACTCATCACAGCTAACCACAGGTTACCTCTGTCCGTCACTCCATGGCAGGCAGATAGAAAGAGCAGAGCAGAAAGTAAGCCTCAAACAAACAGTCATGTTAAAATATTCATACGGTGGCCCTAAGGTGTAAATGAAAAATATTAGAAAAAACGGAATTACATTAAGCCAAACAGGATGTTTTTTTTTTAAATTATTTTTACTTTATTAACAGCATAAACCCGAGCAACAGAACAATATACAGTACACACACAACGAAGATACAATTAGCAGGCTTTCCTTTTAACTGTATCTCCGTTGTGTGTGTACTGTATATTGTTCAGTTTTATACTGTTAATAAAGTAAAACAAAAAACTTCCTATTTGGTTTAACGTAATCCCGTTTTTTCAAATATTGTTCATTAGGGCCGCCGTAAATTCATGACCGGTGAGTTGAAGAAGAGCTGAGAGTTCTGTTTTATGTTTCCGTGTTTTATCTTTAGAGGACAAAAAGTTAAAAAAGGCACAAAATATATAAGTTTATAGAAATAAGTCGTTGTTTGCAAAGGTTAGAGTGGCATCATCTCTGTCGAATATTCTGTGGTAAAAGCTTCAGAAACTTAAATTCTGATTTTACATAAAACAAACAAAAATCTATTCTACAGTTCAGTTCAGTAAAGTCCAACTTTCTGCGACCCGTTTGAAGTTTCTGCTGTGAAGTCGGAGCTGTGGAGCCCTAATGAACGCTCGGTTTTCTCACTCGTTTTGTCAAATTCCCATCTTTTTAAAAGGGGAAAGTTTTTACAATTTTTGGCCAAATCTGCCTTTGTCTTTTGTTGAACGACAAACATTTTAGCTCACTCCTCCCAGACGAGCCGTAACCTGAAGTGATTTTGGCCTGATGTTTTAGAGACATAAAATGGGAAAAATGTAATAAAATGAGGGTGTTTCAAGGTAAAATATTTGAATGCAGCAAAAATCAAAACTTTTACAACTTTATTCCACAGATAAATACATTTAAGCTCTTCCACTGAGCTTCATTTAATCTGTTTCTGTGTCTTAGGTCAACCTTTTCAAAGGACTTTAAAAGGTTTGACGGGACTTTGTTGACCCGGGTTTGACCCTCACTCTGAGGAATGTCACCCTAACTGTGATTTGTGATTGGGCTGGGGGCTTTATGGGAGTGTGACGTTAATTAAGTGGTTTAAATTATTTACTTTAATTTAGAGTCAGATATATGAGAGCAGAATGCAGCACTGGTTTTCAGTTTCAGCTCGTGGAGGAGGAGTTGTTTTTTTCCCCCCGGTTTTCTGAGGAATGTTCTGGAAGCCTGTTTCGACGTGTCACCAAAAAAAGGCTAACATCTCTTCAGCTGGCATCCTGGGATGATTTGCAGCTGTAAAGGAATTAAACTCTGAGAATAAAGGCATGTTGTAGTTTACGTTGCACAAAGTGCAGGCTGGTTCCATGCAGGAGGAACAGTCCTGGTCCAATCTTTAAGTCTGTTTTACCGTCTGTTGTCTTTCTTATCCTGTTTTACAACGACACAGCTGTGAAAAGAAGCATCCTGCAGAGCTGGAAACTTTCAAATAAATATTAAAAAAATGTTTAGGATAATGGTTGTTTCTGGTTCGATATCAGTATTTTTCTAAGCACCCCCGTCCTTTATCCACCCTGCAGCTGAGCTGGAGACACGTGGCACTGTGGGGTGGGGGGTGGGGGCAGGAAGAGAGCTCCCACCGCTTCTCTGAGTCTGAATGAAACTTTTATAGTTTTCCAAGTGTTCATTCGTGCTGCAGTGAGAACAAAGTCACAATAAAAGCTTTTATTTCTGCAATATTCAGAACTGAAGGCTCTTTCAGGCACGAACCGCAGAAGAGGCTCAAATATACAACAAGAGACAAACTTACCTCCCACATGCACGCAAAGACTTAATTTTACAGAAAATAAAGTCAGAATAAATACAATCAGCCAAATCTTTATCTTTTAAATGTGATGAAACCAGAGCTGAAGGTTGAGTCAGCAGAAGCAGACGTCAGAGGACTTCTGGACGGTGGTCTCAGACCAGATTTTCTCTGAGTCTCCATCTCTAACCGCTGGTGGGAAAGTTTGAAAACTGATCCCAAACCAGTCAGGAGGAGTCAACCCTGTGATTTGAAAAGATGGGGGATGTCCCAGCTCCCAACTTCCTGAGCAAACACAGACATCCTTATTTGAATATCCCATTCCCAGCTTCTAGAAAATTCCCTTCATGGATATATAGAGCTGCAGAGAGTGTCCCAGCTGTGCCCCCCCAACTGGACCGGAGCGAGACAAGAAGCCCTGAGACTCTGCACCAGGTGAGGACTGAAAAATACCTCTGCTTGTTGTTTTCAGGGACGTAAACGCTGAATGGACGGCTTTGTCTTTGTTACAGTTCAGCCTTTCATTCCCCCTTGAAGCAGCTTTAAACCTGCTGGTCGTTTCTTCTGCAGCTGAACTTCTGAACATCAGATCAGAGTTTTCAAAAATCTGTGCAGCTTTAAATTGACTGTGCTGGACAAAGAGAGAGCGGGAACAAAAGGGATTATGCTTGTTTCGGTCGGCAGCTGAAAATGTTCTTTTGCCCTGTGCAAATTGTTACATCCACTTTTTGTCTTTCAGAATGAAAATGGCAGACATGAAAACATCTCCAGGTATCCAAAAGTGAACTGAATTTAAGATGAATCCTAAATGTGTAAAGTAAAGAGAGATGCAGTCGACGTCTCTCTGCAGACACGATGTCATTTCTGCCTCAGGACACGAGTTTAGCTCTTAGTTTGAACTCTTTGTGATTAAGTTCAACACAGCCGACACACATTCCTCAGCGGCTCACAGCCTGAACGGTGTCATTAGGTGGAAACAAGGTTTTCCACAAGTTGCTTCACAAAATACATTTTGGATCAATCTGAGCGTCTCTAATGAAGTTGGAGCATCATGTTTCAGTGTGAAGTCAGTGTCCAGCTTCAGCTCTCAGCTGCGGACGTGGCCCTGATCACGTCCAGAAGCTCCCCAGAACTTCTCTGTGGACTGAGAGCTTCAACAGCTCTTCCTGACTTTGTCTTCTTTTTTTAGACAGAATTTTAATGAACAAGTACAACTCAACAATATAGACGTGTGATTTCCACCAATTGTCCCAGTCTTCCCACCGTTAACCCTGCCTGTTCCTCTTTGTTCTCTCCTCTCAGGCTGCTGCAGCTGTGTTCTCCATTTGACAGGATGTGGATGACTAACATTGTCGCTCTTTGTCTGCTGGCCTTCACGGCCTCTGCAGAGGAGAAGAAACTGAGCAGCCATGCCTCCACGCTGGCTGAAAACAGTGCCAACCTGGCCTTCAGGTCCGTCACATGCTTTAATACGGAAGTTCTCCATGATTTTGTGACTGGTCAGTTTAAGTAAAGTTTCTTTCTTCTGGTTTTATTTCAGCCTCTACCAAACCATGGCCAAGGACAAGGCCACGGAGAACATTGTGGTCTCTCCTGTTGTGGTTGCCTCCTCTCTGGGACTGGTCGCTCTTGGTGGTAAGGCCTCCACCGCCTCTCAGGTGAAAACCGTCCTCAGTGCCAACAAACTCAAGGACGAGCACCTGCACTCGGGCCTGTCAGAGCTCCTCACCGAGGTAAGGGGTACAAACATCCATACGAGAAGATCAGGCTGTAAACCAGAGTCTCTGAACTCTACTGATCGTAGCGTGTTTCCTGCTTCTTCTCAGGTGAGCAACGCCAAGACCCGCAACTCCACCTGGAAGATCAACAACCGCCTGTATGGGCCCAGCACCGTCTCCTTTGCCGACGAGTTTGTGAAGAGCAGCAAAAAGCACTACAACTATGACCACTCCAAGATCAACCTCCGGGACAAGAGGAGCGCGGTGAACTCCATCAACGAGTGGGCGGCCAAGTCCACGGATGGCAAGCTGCCCGAGATTACCAAAGATGTGGAGAACCCAGACGGAGCCATGATCGTCAACGCCATGTTCTTCAAGCGTGAGTACAGACAGTCAGAACCTCTTGGCTGATCTGAAGCCTGTGGAGATGACTGACTGGAGGCTCTTGCTTTTACCCCACAGCTCACTGGGACGAGAAATTCCACGAACAAATGGTGGACAACCGAGGTTTCCTGGTGACCCGTTCCTTTACCGTTGGAGTTCCCATGATGCACCGCACAGGCATGTCTCCCCACCATCTCTGCTTCAGATCTTATTATGTCTTCTCAACAAGAATGCGTGAGATGATCTGATCTGATGTCTCGTCTCCCCGCAGGTCTTTATGATTTCCTCGACGACAAAGAGAACAAGCTCTTTGTGCTGAACATGCCTCTGGGACAGAAGCAGGCCTCCATGATTCTTATCATGCCATATCACCTGGAGCCCCTGGAGCGCCTGGAGAAGCTGCTGACGAGGAAGCAGGTGGACGCTTGGCTCAGCAAAATGGAGAACACAGCCGTTGCAGTCTCCCTTCCCAAAATCTCTGTAGAAGTCAGCCACAACCTGCAGGTAAGCAATCCAATCAACAAACACATTGCTTTGGAGAACTGGACAATCTGCCGTCACAGTTCTGAGGGATTCCATCTTTGTTCTTTTTGTTTCCAGAAACATCTGGCCGAGCTTGGCCTGACTGAGGCTGTGGACAAGTCCAAGGCCGATCTGTCCAACATCTCCGGGAAGAAGGACCTGTATCTGTCCAACGTCTTCCACGCATCGGCCTTGGAGCTGAGCATCGAAGGGAACCCATACGACACAAGCATCTTCGGCTCAGAGAAGCTGAGGAAGCCCAAGCTCTTCTACGTAGACCATCCCTTCATTTTCCTGGTGAAGGACAACAAAACCAACTCCATCCTGTACATTGGCAGGGTGGTTCGACCCAAAGGGGACAAGATGCGTGATGAGCTATAATGTTAAAGTGTGGTGTAGAGTAGCTTATATTGTGTTGTGTTGTTGTGTGTGTTGGTGTTTTGACTGGTTTGTTAACTCAAGAGCACATTCCAATAGACAATCTGTGGACTGAAGATCTGAGAGTTTACTAAACTTTGAAGGCAACAACCTGTTAGAGGCATTTTCGGCTCCGTAAACCAATGTCAGTCGGCGTGCACGCTTATATTAAGCGTGGTGTGTTTTTTAATTTAACATCTTGTGTCGCCGCTGTTGGCCCAGCCACAACCCACGTGAGTTTTCTTGCATTATCTTTAACGTTTAAAGAAGAAAAAAGACCTTTGCAAAACTTTGCTTGTCAGATCCTCATTCCATTTATTTCACCTCAACTCCAGCTGAGTTTTCAGTGAAAAGGTGGCGAATATCTGGTCTCTAATTTATGCCTGTTTCCAGTCAGGATTTGTCTTGTTGCTGTAGGTGTTTTATTTTTTATTTTCCACAGAGCAGCTGTTCGGACTGTGTGATTGTGTAATAGTATGTGATTTTTTTTTTCTCAATAAAATGAAAAAACAAAAAAGGGTGCAGAGTGGTTGTTCTTCCAGAACACGAGCCTCAGTGCTTATATTGAACAGAGGAATGTGAGTGCTCGGGTGCGCATGTGTCGACTTTCAGAGACGACAAACTTTCCAGCTGACTGGAAGTCAAACGCCTTCCAGGGCTGGAATGCAGAGATTCAACAGCCAGGATCGGCTCATCCAGCAGATGCAGATTTTTTAACCATTGGCGTGCAGGGTTCTCATGGTGATCAGTAAGGTGGCCCTGAGATGTAAATGAACAAGATTGGAAAAAACTGAATTACATTAAGCCAAACCGTGTTTTAGTTCTTTTTTTTTTTTTTTTTTAACTTTATGAATAACGTAAAACAGAACAATGTACAGCAGGGTCATTCCTACTATTTGGTCCCTTTTGAATGCCATGCCATAATGTGGTATATTTTGTTTAAAGGTGGGCTAATATCTATTTTATTAATCTCATGTTATATGTTTGACTCCCCTCTACCATAAAACACAACCTTATGTACACAAGATGAAATCATTTAAAACAATTAAATCTAATTTTAAAATGTAACTTGGGTTTATTGCCATGTCCCCTTTCATGCTTCCTGAAATTAAGTCACAATTCTAAGTAATATAAATAAAAAAAATGTAATTTTTAAATATTTTTTAATAGTCTTTTTATAATAGTTCCCATCCAATGACATTTATGGTATCAAAAAATATATTTTATGCTTCAATTATTAAAAATAAACTGAGTCCCTGAGTCAACTGTCCACCCTGTTACTCTAAAATACCTGTCAACCCCGATTTGTCTTAATGTAATTCCATCCATCCATCCATTATCTTTACCCGTTTATTCCATTTTGGGTCACGGGGGTCGCTGGTGCCCATGTCCAGCAATCACTGTGCGAGGGGCGGGGTACACCCTGGACGGGTCGCAAGTCCATCACAGGGCCACATAGAGACAAACGAGACAAACAACCATTTTCTCTCTCACTCACACCTAGGGACAATTTAGAGTTACCAATCAGCCTAACATGCATGTTTTTGGTCTGTGGGAGGAAACCGGAGTGCCCGGAGAAAACCCACGCATGCACGGAGAGAACATGCAAACTCCACCCAGAAGGCTCCTGGACCGGGGTTTGAACCAGGGACCTGCTCGCTGAGAGGCAGCAGCTCTACCAGTTGCGCCACCGTGTTAATGTAATTCCATTTTTTTCAAATGTAATTCTGTTTTTTTTTTGTTTTTTTTTTCAAATGTAATTCAGTTTTTTCACCACTTCTGCTTTGGCTTAATGTAATTCTGTTTTTTCCATTGTTGTTCATTTATACCTCAGGGCCACCGTAGATCAGGTTTATCCCATGTTTGTCAAACACAACAAATGAAAGGGTGTCTGATAACAGACACATGCAGCAACAGTTCATCAGGTTTTCTTACACAGTTGAATTATTTACAGTTTACTTGTTGAACTTTACAATGCCTCTATGGAATCACGTCAAAGGCTGTACCATCAAAAAGAAGAAGAAGAAACGGTTTAAAATGGAATAATGCAGATTTTCTTTGATGGATGAAATCCTGTAGAACGTTTTCACACACAGAGCTACCGCGCCTCTTGGTGGCTGCAAAGAGCAAAGAATTATCTGTGAGAAGACAAAGATACAAATGAATAACTTATTTATAGGATGTACTCAGATGAACATTATACTTTGTATTTCAGTTATAACAAGAAAAACTTACAACAAAAATGAATTGAATCAAATCCTGACTGCATTTTTGTTCAAAGCAATGTTGTTGCTCTATTTAGAGCAATTGTTGTGGGGATTAACGGGCTAGTTCCACTTTAGGTCTGCAACCTGGTTTTGAGCTAACTGAAACATATGTTTTTAAAAGTTGATAACCAATCCATAATTAAGACTTATACATTTGAGAACATTCTTTTTTTTTTTTTGCGGAACAAATTTAAACACTTAAAACAGCAACATTTTTATAAACTATTTTATGGTTCTTTTTTCTTTGTTTCAGAGGCAGTCCCTCTTATCAGAACACCTGAGCAAGATTAAGTGCAAAGAAGTTTATATTCAGGTGAATAAAGCTGTTGTTAAAAGTAGTATGGTGCGTATTTGGTGTGTTTTCAATGGTAAACATGCACAGCAGTTAAAGTATTTCATTCCTCAACTACAATCGTATTTTTATTGTTTATATACAAAAATAAAGTTGGGAAAGTGCTTCTTAAAATAAAAAATAAAAATCTGCTTGTATCATCGTGAAAAAAATACAAGCTTCTTCTACAACTGACCTTTAGGGATGCTTAGCCCCCCCCCCCCCCCCCCC